AGACAATTTTCCAAGCATAAGAAAAGGAAATGATACTCAGATATATGAGGCATGCAGAACTCCAGCCAGTTGTAACCAAAATAGATCTATACCCAGACATATAATATTCAAGATCCCAAAAACTCAACACAAGAACATAATATTAAAAGCTGTCAGAGAGGGGCTGGGGATTTAGCTCAGCAGCATAAGCGCCTGTCTTGCAAGCAGGCAGTTGTGAGTTTGATCCCTGGTACCAATAAAAACGAAAAAGACCAAAAAAAAAAAAAAAAAGCTGTCAGAGAAAAGAAACTGTTCACCTATAAAGGAAAGCCCATCAGAATCATGGCACACTTCTTGACACAAGCCATCAAATCAAGAAGAGCTTGGAGTGAAGTATGCTAAGTCCTGAAAGAAAATAACCTCCAACCCAATTGATGTATCCTACAAAACTATCAAAATTAATGGAGAAACAAGATACTTCCATGTGACAGAGAAACTGGAAGAGTTCATGACCATCAAACCAACCCCTCAAAAAATACTGAAGGATATTCTAGAGAAAGAAAAAAGACCATGGTTTCAGGAACAGTGGCAGAGGTGGCTTACTGAATGGGGCAGACAGTGGAATGAAGGGGAAAAGTAGACAACCAGTGGTAGAAAAATAACATGGCAGAGATGAGGCAGAGAAGGTTGGCTATAACCACTAGTATGAGTGGCCTGGATTCACCAATAAAAAGAAACATAGGCAGAGTGGATCAGGAGATAGGATCTGTCAATATGCTCTATATAAGAAATACAATTAACCCAAAAGAGGATTTATAGACTGAAGCAACAGCTTGTGACTGGGAACCAAATAAAAGTGGGGGTAGCTTGTCCATCAGCTGTAGATTGGCTAGAAAGCCACAACACTTTATACAATAGAAAACTACTCAGCTATAAAGAAAAAAAAATCTTGAGGCTTATACCATTTGAGATCGTGCTCAGGGATAAAAAGGTTCAGAATCACTTACGTCAATAGTGGGCTGCCTCCGGAATCTAAAAACTAAAGGAGTTAGTGGGATGCAAAATGTACAATGCACCCTGTGAAAGTGAAAGGGGAGGAATTGTCTAAAAATGGAAGGCAGTGGCCATTGTTAATCTTTTATCGTGATTTGAAACCCATATTGTTTTCATCATTTTGTTTAGTTTGGTTTTATTCTGTTCCAGTTTGTCTTCTTGTATTAGATTTGATGGCATGGACAGCTATTCCAAAGATTGCAGAATATATTATGGTAACCATTTTTGATTTCCTATTAACTTGATTTTGAAGCCCTGTATTGCTTTCACTGTCTTGTTTTGACTGATTTTACTCTATTCTGTTTTGTTCAGTAGTATCAAGTCTAAGGGTTTAGACAACTTCTTTGAAGACAATAAGATTCACTATGATACCCATTCTGGTTTAGCGATTATCTTCTTTTGAAGTCCTGTAATGTCTCCATTTTTATTGGTTTTGTTCTGTACTGTTTTGTTCAATTTTATTATACCTGATGATATGGGCAATTCTTTTGAAGATAGCAAGAGGCATTATGGTACCCATTGTTGATCACCTTGCATTTTGGTTTTAAGTCATGTACTATATCCATCTTCTGTATGTTGCTATAAAAGTTATTTCTTTACCACAAACTAAATTTCTGTATATGTTTGGGATTAATTTCTGGCTTTTTAATTTTGTTTTTGTTTTGAGGGGGGATAACTTCTGTAACAAGGTTTTGTTATGTAGTTCAGGCTGGGCTTGAGCTCACTATATAGCTCAGGCTGGCCTCAAACTCAAGGTGCTCCTCCTGCCTCAGCTTCTCAAGTGCTGGGGTTATAGGCATGCCCCTACACCGTGCTGGGTTTTTTGTCTTTATGTCTAGTGTATCTCCATTTGTGCTAGTGTCAAATTGTTTTCGTGTGTGTGTAAAATTGTTTAAATGTGGCTTTTTTTGTGTTTTAATGTCTGATAAGACTTCCTTTTTTAAGATTTTTCCATATAGACTTTAGGATCAACTGAGTAGAAAAGACATGCTATTGGCATTTTTATTGTTATTGTATAATATTATAAATTGTGGGGAATGATATATATGTGACATTGAGATGTCTTCCCAAGAACTCATTGGGAGTTCAGTGATTCAAATCCTTAATTTTTCACTAGATTAATAATTTTTCCCATATTAATCTTGCACATAAGTATATTCCTAGGTATTTAATATCTGTTACTTGTCATTTTTTTGCTCTTATAAACAGAATTTTTCTTGTTTTATTATCTAATCAATACTTACTTATATTTAGTCTACTCTTTTTATTTAATAGTTTGGGGGGGGGTACCAGGGATTGAACTCACAACCTCACACTTGCCAGGTAGGTGCTTATGCCACTGAGCTAAATCCCTAGCCCTTACTTATATTTAGAAAAGATTGATGTTGAGGGAGGTAAAGGAGGTTGAACACAGGGCTTTTGCACTGAGTATATCCTGGTCTTCTTTTTTAATTTTTAATTTTTGAAATAAGATCTTACTTCACCAAGTTGCCCAAGTTAGGCTTAAATTTGAGATCCTTTTGTCTCAGCCTCCCAGAGTGCTGAGGTTACAAACATGAGCCACTATGCTTAGCTAACGAGTGATTGGTTTGAACACTGATCAGGATACTAATTTTTTTTTTTTTTTTTTTATCGGTACCGGGGATCGAACTCCTGACCGCCTGCTTGCAAGGCAGGTGCTTATGCCGCTGAGCTAAATCCCCAGGCCCCAGGATACTAATTTTTATAGATCAATTTTGTATTTATGTGCTTCATTAAATTTTCTTATCATTTTTCATGGTTCAGTTTTTTGCTTTTTTTTACTTTTCTAGGATAAAGTAATGGTAATTTTGGCTTTTTTCTGTTTTTTTTTTGTTGTTCTTTGTATAAGTGGGCAATTCCTTGAAAAGAGTGTTTAAAGAATAGTTGTAATAGTTGATGTCTTAGTTATATTCTCTCCTTTAATTAGAATGTATTTAGTATTTTAGCATTGAGTATGATACAGATTTCTTTTCTAGGGCTGAGGATTGAACCCAAGATCTTACACTTGCTCTAATCCGTATCCCCAGCCCAATAAAGATTTTTGGATTGGAATGAAGAGAAATACATTTTGTCAAGTATTTTAGTCTCTTTTCTGTTGCTACTACTGAATGTCAACAGCTGATTCTTTTGTAGAGAAAGTAGCATTGTTTAAGTTCAGTATTGGTAGTTCTGGAGGCTACTATCAAATGTGACCCCTCAGACCTCCAGAGCTATGAGTGGGAATAAATTTCTTTATAATTCACCCACTCTGTAGTACTGTGTTACTGGCAACAAAAAGGAACTCAGGTTATTTATTTGAGTTATTTCTTCTTTTCTAATATAGGTTAAACATAAAATCTAAACTTTCCTGCACATTAGTTTTGTTGCTTCATTTTTATTATATTGTGTTTTTTCAGTCATTTTATTTTTTTGGTGAGGAGGGAGAGGCTGTTGGGCTTGAACCTAGAACCTTGCACATTCTAGACAAGTATAGTACTTTATCACTGAGCATACCCCTAGCCCTTTTTATTTTTTATTTTGAGGCAAGATCTTAACTAAGTTGCCCATGCTGGCCTCAAACTTGGAGTCCTGCTACCTTAGCCTCCTACGTGTTTATTGGGTATTGTTCAAATGCTTTTAGTATTGTTGGAGGTGAGCATAGGACTTTTCTTGTTTTGATTTATTAATAATAGTAAATTACGTTAATAATTTCCTAGTACTAGATTTTAATTTTGTGTGTGTGTGTGTGCCAGGAATTGATCTCATGACCTTGTGCTTTCCAGGCATTGTGCTGCTGAGCTATATCCCCAGTCGCTGGATCATTCTTGATATGAATTCCACTGGCTGGCATTGTATTATTTAGATTTTTTTTTTTTTTTTTGTCTTTTTCCTTTTTTTTATCGGTACCAGGGATCGAACTCACGACTGCCTGCTTGCAAGGCAGGTGCTTATGCCGCTGAGCTAAATCCCCAGCCCCCTATTTAGATGGTTTAATGGTGCTTGTATTGTTTAGATGTTTTAATGGTGTTTTTAAAGTATAATTTCTGCATTATAATTTATTTTTATTTTATTTTATTATTATTATTTTTTTATTGATTCTGGGGATTGAACTCATGACCACATGCTTGCAAAGCAGGCACTTAGGCCGCTGAGCTAAATCCCCAGCCCCATATTTTTTATTTTTAAGAGTTTTAGCAATTCATACACATGAATGATATTTTCTGAAGTTTTTTTATACTTTTGTCAGATATCTTATCTTATTTTATTTTATTTTATTTTATTTTATTTTATTGGTACTGGGGATCAAACTCACAATCTCACATTGCCAGGCAGGCACTTATGCTGCTGAGATTTATCCCTGGCCCATTTTGGCAGATTTTGTTGTCTGTTATCCTGACTTTATTAAAATAGTTGGGAAGTTTTTTGTTTCTCTTCAGTGATTTAAAACCTTTGAGAAGCATTAGAGTTCTCCAGTGGATAAGAATTCACGTCTGGGCTGCGTGCTTGCTTGCACATGTGCACATTCCCTCACTCTTCTCAGCAGTGGGTGTGTGTGTTTTATTTTACAATGCTATGTATTGAACACAAGATCTCACTCAGGCTAGGCAAGCATTGTGCCACTGAGCCAGTGCAGCAGTTCTGTCTGGTGTTTTCTAGCCCAGAAAGTCTAGGATTATCTCATGTAAGTTTTTTTTTTTTTTTTTTTCCCTCACATGCTTAAATTGAAATGCAGTTTAAATGTGGTATGGGCAAATATTTCGCTTTCGTTGTCAGAATGTGTTATGAAATTTGAGACTTTAACTGTAAGAAATACCCAGAATGTTGTCAAACAAAAATTTCTTGTTGAATAGCATTGAAATGTGTTTAAAACTTAAACTTAACTTACCTTTTTACAAATGTATTCAATGTTCTAACTGTTCATTTTTTACTTGATAGAGCTGTAATTAATCTATTTTTTAATTGTGTAGAAATTTACAGCAACAATGTCAACACCAGATAAGAAAGCTTCACAGAAGATTGGTTTTCGATTACGGAACCTACTCAAGCTTCCAAAAGCACATAAATGGTGCATATATGAGTGGTTCTATTCAAATATAGATAAGTATGTATCATGACTTATATCCTGAATATTACTTGAACCAAAAATTTGTTTTTCAAATGTTATAAGCTGCAACCTTTTCTAAAAGCTTATATTCACCTTACTTTTTCTTGACTTCACTCTGCTTCTTTCTCTCTCTCTCTCTCTTTTTTCCTTTTCTTCTTTTTTCTTTGTGTGGAGATTGGGTCTGGCTGGGTTTTCCCAGGCTGGTCTTGGACTCCTGAACTCAAATGATCCTTCTGTTTTAATCTTCTGAGTAGCCTGGGAAGATTTTTAACCTTTGCTACACCTCTTTGGGGAAGAAGTTTTACAATTTGGTGAAAAACTAAAAGTATAATTTCTGCATTATAATTAACAATGACAATACATAGGGATACCCTAAGTGAAAGCATTGTTTGCAGTGTATGAGATTTACTTTATAAGTCCTGAGAGCTTAAGTACTAGCATAATTTCAAACTTACTAAGGTTAAAAATAACTCAGGAAAATTGTTAGGAGGGTAGTCTTTATATTTAGTGTACAGTACTTAAGCACTTCTGCTTTTCATAAATGTTTAAGTAGAACATAGTATAAAGATTCTGCTGGGATAGGGGCTGGGGATTTAGCTCAGCGGCATAAGCACCTGCCTTGCAAGCAGGCAGCTGTGAGTTCAATCCCTGGTACCAATAAAAATGAAAAAGACAAAAAAAAGAAAAGAAAAGAAAAGAAAAAACAGATTCGGTTGGGATCATTGAACAAAACTGTTTGCAGTCTCACTGTTTAAAAGTCTCCTCTATATACTTTAATTTTGTAACTTCAACAACTATTTCTAAGATGACAATATGTAATTAACTAGTGATTTCCTACTGTTTATTTTTTCTGAAAGTCTGTATAACTTGTACCCTTTTTCTGTTTTTTTTCTTTTTTCTCCTTAAATAAAATTAAAAAAAAAAAAGATTTGGCTGGAAAACATATTTAATAGAATTTATTGAGTAAAAATTTTGATTTCCATTCCATCTTTGTATGCTGTTATTAATGCTTGGTTTACTGGATATTTATTTGTACTCCCTTTCTATTTTCCAGACCAACTGCCTACTCTGTAGCTTGTATATCTCAGATTCATATCTGAGTTCAAGATATTTATGTGTCTTTTGTGAAGACTGCTTTCCCAAACTCATGAATAGATTTATGTTGTTTTTGTGTACAGGTTTAACATATACTTATGAAAGTTTTCTGATTGGAGTTCTTCTGGAAATCTCAAAACCTAGTTTAATCCTTGAGACTTCTAAATGTTCTCAGACTAGTTTAATCTGAGTCCTTGGTGATGGTATTACTTTTGGGACAGAGATTTTGTTTGTTTTTGTCAGCTGTAATACCGGGACCAGGACACCCTCCCTAAGGACAGATTCGCACATATTACCATGTAACAGACTGAACAGGAGTCAGTATCTCCTCAAATCTCAAGCAGTGTTTTTTGAGTGCCTTTTGCACATTAGTTGTTTCATACGTGCCGAGGATTTAATTTTAGCACTTTGAATTAGTGGCTATTTTGTGTGTAAATGGGGTAAAAGTGACAGGTAACATTTTGTTATTATTATGATTAGGAAAATTGGAATGCATGTTTTGAATTTTATGTCATTTAAGAAAGTAATGAATTATATATTAACCAATAAAATAACATTTCTGTTTTACAGACCACTTTTTGAAGGTGATAATGACTTCTGTGTATGTCTGAAGGAATCTTTTCCTAATTTGAAAACAAGAAAGTTAACAAGAGTAGAGTGGGGAAAAATCAGACGGCTTATGGGAAAACCACGGAGGTAAAAGTAAAGTTTTGTTTAAAATGAAATAAAACAAATCAATATCACTTCTCTACCTTTTGGTTAAAATCAAGTGTGAAATAAACTCAGTAAACAGTTGAACAGTTGATAGTATCGTTACTACATTGATTTTTTAAAATATATATTACTAGAGATTAAACCTGAGACCTTTGCACTGAGCTACATCCCCAGCCCCTGTTGATTTTTTTTTTTTTTTTTAAGTTCCCCAGGCTGGGCTCAAAATCGGGATTCTCCAGCCTCAGCCTCCCGGCTAGGATTACAGGTATACACTGTGAAGCCCAGCTTGGAAGAGGTCTTTCTAATAGGCTGCAAAGCTAGGAACCATAAAAGAATACCAGTAAATTAGATTTTATTAAAATGATAACGTTCTGTACTGTCAAAAAAGAAAAGGAATAAAAATTCAGCAATATAAATACACATTACTATTCATCACAGAGGGTTAATTCTCTAATATGTAAAGAAGCTCTACAAACCAGTAAAAAGTTAAATAACCCATAATAAAAATTATTATATACATGGGGCTGGGGATTTAGCTCAGTGGTTTAAGCCCCTGTCTGTTAAGCGCAAGGTCGTGAGTTCAATCCCTGGTACCAAAAAAAAATTTTTATATACAGATAGTTCATATGTAAGAAAGAAATGACTCAGTTACACCTGGAAAAATTTCAGTTTTTCTCATAGGAAATGCAAAATGAAAGTTTGTTGAGATAGTAGTTTTTACTTTCAGATTGATGAGCTTCATGAAGCTTTAACAGTTTGCTAATAGTATGGGGAAAGAGTTATTCTATGTCCTGCTTGTAAGAGATTAATTTTGTATAATCACTGTGGAGAGCAGTTAGATATAATTATCAAATTTATAAATTTGCATTCTTTTTCACTAGCACTTCTAGGTATTTATACCATAGAAATATTTGCACACAGATGAAATGTATTTTTTTTTTCAGTTTTATTCGTAGCAGCAAAAGATTGGCAACAAGTGAGATGTTCATTAGTACAGAAATGATCAAACTGTTGAGTAGAAAACTCTGCAACTACTTAACATTAAACAGAAACATGAACAAGGAGTGTAGCTCCAAGGTAGAGCACATACTTAGCCTTCAATCCTGGGCAACAAAAACAGTTCTGTACATATTGATGGCAAGAGTACTAGCTGGTATATATTAAGATTACAAAATAAATAGTGGTGTGTATTTTAACTATTTGAGAACAGAAGAAAGAGAACATGCTTTTTTTGAGTGGTGTATGCTAAAGTACCAGTGAAGGACATACACAAAATGTGTAATGTTGATTTTTTTTTTTTTGGTAATAATGATCTTTTGGGAACCAAACTGGGTAACTAAGGAATGTGAATGTGGGTATAAGAGTTTTCAATACTTTTTTTTTTTTTTTTTTTTGTCTTTTTCCTTTTTTATCGGTACCAGGGATCGAGATGACTGCCTACGTGCAAGGCAGGCACTTATGCCGCTGAGCTAAATCCCCAGCCCCTTTGCTTTTGTTTTTGGTTTTTTGAGTAAGGGTCTTGCTATGTACCCTTAAACTTGAAATGATCCTCCTGCTTCAGCTTCCCAAATGTTGGGATCATAAGCATGCACTACCATACCCAGCAAGAATTTTCAGTACCTTTTGACCTCTTAAATCAGAAGCCATGCAAATGTATTCACTACTCAGAGATACTATTTAAATAAAATCTGAATGTTCCCAAAATATACAAAATATGTATATTATGTCTAGAATATATAATGAACTTTTAAATTCAATAAGAAGAAATAGTTCAGTTAACAAAATGGGCAAAACTCTGAGTAGATACTTCAGTTGCAGGTTCGAAGCCAGTCTGGGCAACCCTGCCTTAAAATTAAAATGGAATGGAAATGTAGCTTGGTGGAATGCCCCTGAGTTCAATCCTTAGTACCACCAAAAGGAGTAGGGGGGCTGTGAGGTGGATGCTTAGTGGTAGAGCAGGGTACTTGGGGAGCCTCGGCGTCCCCAGTGTCTAGGCAGAAAAAGGCAAGAAAGTGCAATCTGAGTGTGCAGGTGCAGTAATCCCAGCATGAAGGAAGAAAGAGAGAAAAGGAGTGAAAGGATATGTTTATACAAAAACTGATACACACACTGTCCATATGCTGCCCGTAGCAACTTTGCCTTAGTCAAAAACTAAATAAATCCCAAATGTTCAGTAGGTAAATGGATGAACAAATTGTGACACATGTATGCAATGGAGTACTACTCACCAGTATAAAAGAATGAACAAATATTGATGCAACAGCGTGGATAAAACTCAATAGTTAAAGAGCAACTTAGAGGGGCTGGGGATTTAGCTCAGCGGCATAAGTGCCTGCCTGCCTTGCAAGCAGGCAGTCGTGAGTTTGATCCCTGGTACCGATAAAAACGAAAAAGACAAAAAAAACCAAAAAAAACAACTTAGTGATCATTTGAGGAGGAGGGATCTGAGATTGGGAGAATTGCAAAGCAGAATATGGTAATACAAGGACACTGGGGCTGTGTGTTCATTATCTTGATTGTAATGAGGGATTTATGGATTGTGCAAGGCGTGTACGTGTCAGAATTTATCAAATTGTACACCTTTAACACTTGGAGTTTATTATATGCACATTGTATCTCGAGACATTAATAACTACAAAAAAATTTCAAACTTTGGGCAAGTTAGTACAAGAAGGGATGTGGGAACTGTGATATGCAAAGCAGCAGACAGTTCTAATTGTCAGCTACAGGGAGGTATTATGAGACCTGAACTCTTAAATGCTAAGACTTTTTTTTTTGAGCCAGGGTCTCCCTGTGTATTATAGGCTCACCTTGAACTCACCATGTAGCCTAGACTGGCCTTGAACTTGTGATCCTCCTTCCTCAGCCTCCCATGTGCTGGGATAACAGGAGTGCACCACCACACCCGGCCCAAGAGTTGTAAGTGGTGTTGTGGAGAGAATAAGGCTGATTTTGTCAGGCATGATGTTGGATGCCTGTAAACCCAGCACTCAGGGAAGGTGAGGTAGGAGGATCTCAAGTTTAAGGCCAGTCTGGGTTACATATAAATTTAGCAAGACCCTGTCTTAAAATTTTATTTTTTTAGTTTTTTGGAGGCATTTGTTTTGTTTTGGCTTTTGAGACAAGGTCTCTCACTCTAGCTTTGAACTCACTAGGCCAGGCTGGCCTTGAACTTGAGGCAATCCTACTTCAGCCTCCCAAGAGCTGGGGTTACAGGTGTATGCCACCATGTGAAGTTTAAAAGAAAAAAAATTTTAAAGCAGCTGGTCATACAATTCTGTATAAAGGCCCTGGGTTCAATCCATATTACCAAAAGGGGGAAAAAAATATTTTTCTAACCGAGCATGGTAGCTGATGACTAATCTCAGCACTCAGGAAGCTGAGGTAGGAGAATTGTTGCAAGTTCAAGACCAGCCTGGGCTATAAAGTGAGCTCAAGGCTGGCCTGAAAGAAAGAAAATAAGATGTAGTTCAATTTATTAGCAATGCAGTGCTTTGTTTTGTCACATTCTTCCTATAAATAGAACTTGATCGAGCTGTATTCAGTCAGAAGTCAGAGTATATTGGCTATGATCTTTCTGTATATTTTCAGTCCTTGTTTATCATCCACTATAGTCCACTTAAAATTAAATGAAAATTAAGCTCATAATAATGTGCCTTTGATGGTAAGTATAATAAGATGTGAAAATCATGCTTAAATACTTTGATTCATCCTGAAGTTTGGTGGGGAAAAAAAGGCCCTAGCAAAAAAGAAAAAATCTGGTATCTAAATTTCAATACAGAGAGTGTGATTAAAAACTCACACAGTGGCAAATTTCATCTTAAATACCTATATTGATTTGCTCACTGGGTCGGAGAGAAAATGCCATATTTTTCTGAATAGAATCTTGAAATTCAGTTTCATCGTTATGAGCAAACCTGGGCTTCAGACATGATTATTAACAAGTTGGTATAGAATAGGAGGACTTGGCTTGCTTATACATCTTTGTCTTGAAAGGTTCCTTTTTTTTAAAATTAAAAGTAATTTACAGGGAAACAGTTTCTATAGACTTGTTTTTTTTTTTTTTTTTTTTTTTATCGCTACTGGGGATCGAACTCACAATTGCCTGCTTGCAAGGCAGGTGCTTATGCCACTGAACTAAATCCCCAGCCCCTGTACAGACTTGTTTAAAAATACAGTACTCAGAAGAAAGTGAAGTAGATGGGCATGGTGGTGCATACCCGTAATCCCACTATTCAGGATCCTGAGGCAGGAGTATCACCGCAAGTTCAAGGACAGCCTGGATTACATAGTAAGATCCTGTCTCAAAAAGAATGTGAATTTTGAAAAAGGGGCAGTGAGATGGATGGTCAGAGTCCAGATTTCTGTGTAGGATAGTTATAAGTTTACATAATTTTTATAATTTGTTCTAGATGTTCTTCTGCATTTTTTGAGGAAGAGAGATCAGCATTAAAACAGAAACGGCAGAAAATAAGGCTCTTACAACAAAGGAAAGTTGCAGATGTTTCACAATTCAAAGATCTTCCAGATGAAATTCCTTTGCCCTTGGTTATTGGAACCAAAGTTACAGGTAAGTAAAGACAAGCTCGTTACTGTGTGATGTGTGACTTTCAGCAAGATAATTTGTACTAGAGAATTAGAAAGCTTTCTTATAATTCTGTGGTAATTTATTGTGTACATGTTATGTGTGAAAAATATTTTTTAAGGTAATTAGAAAAAAGTATACTGGTTCAAAGTAATACTGTAATATATACTAAAGCAAACTGATATGAAAACGAAATTTAAAATTCATTGGAATAGTTATAACTATGTATTGTTTAAATTGTTAAATTAGTCTCTTTTGCTTCTACATATTTGTTTTATTTTCCTGACCAGCCATTCTAGTTGGTTTGTGGTGCTTGGGTCTAGAGATAGTTCATTTTTCTTTCTCTTTTTTTCTTCTTTACATTTTTATATTGATTTTTATTTGGTGCGTGATTCAAAGTGAGAATTATTCCTTATAAGAAATACACTAGCAATAAATAAATAAATTGAAGGGGGGTCTGGTTTTTAAAAAAAAAAAAGAAAGAAAGAAATACACTAGCTTCTTTTAAAAAAAATTTGTACACATTTTTAGTATGTAATGATTATTTCATTGTGCAGAGTTAATACGTGTACATTAGATATCTTAATTCTTTTTACTTCCTGTTTCTCTCCCCCGCTGCCCTTCTCCATGCCTTGATCACCTTCTTCTTCCCAAATATCTAGAGATAGTGCATTTCTAATGACCGAGTAAAACCAAATTTATTCATTAGGATGTTTGTTCAAAATTTTGTAAGGTAGCTGGGTGTGGTGATGCACATCAGTAATGCTAGCACTTGGTAGGCTGAGGCAGGAGAATTGTAATAAGTTCGAGACCAACCTGAGCTACATAGTGAGACCTTGTCTCAAAAAAAATAAATAAATAAAAGATAGTGCTGTGTCTGGTGGTGTACACCTGTATTCTCAACTACATTTGAGGCAGAAGCAAGATACTGTCGTAAAGTTCAAACACTTTAAAAGGCTGTATCTAGCTCAGCGCAAAGTCCCTGAGTTTAGTTCCAAGAACCAGCTAACCAACCAACCAATCAACCAACCAAGTGGACCCAGAAACATAAAAGAAGATCAAGAGATTATGACCAAGTAAAGTTTATTATGGGAATATGAATTGGATGAAGATTCACAAATCGGGGTGCTGGGGATTTAGCTCAGCGGCATAAGCGCCTGCCTTGCAAGCAGGTAGTCGTGAGTTCGATCCCTGGTACCGATAAAAAAGAAAAAGACAAAAAAAGATTCACAAATCAATGTCAAGCCCTGCATTCAGTTCCTAGTATTTCCCCCCAAAAATCAGCATCAAGACTATGATGAGATAGGCCATAGACTGGTAGAAAAAATATTTGCAAAAGATATATCTGATATAGGACTATTATCCAAATATGTAAAAAACTCTCAAAGCTCAACAATAAGAAAATAATTTAAAAGACTGCTAAAGACCTGAACAGACACCCCACCAAAGAAGATACACGGATAGCAAACAAATGTCTAAAAAGATCTCATACTCAACATTTGATGTCCTCAGAGAAATGCAAATTAAAACAGGCACCATTACACACTTTAAAGGATGACAAAAATCCAAAACACTGCAGCACTCAACTGCTGATGAAGATGGCAAGCAACAGAAACTCTCATTTTACTGAATTCAGCGCACAATCACCATTCAGCCCAGTGTTTGTGTGTCTTGGTATTTAAGGGAGTTGAAAACTATGTCCACAGAAGAACCTCCTGGGATGTTCGTGGCAACTTTATTTATAATTGCCAAAAATATGCCAAAACTTAGAAGCAACCAAGATACCTTTTAGGTGTGGATAAATCAGTTGTGGCACATCCTAGACAATGAAATATTATTCCATACTAAAAAGAAACAAGCTATCAATCCATAAAAAGATGTGGAGCAATCTGAAATGCACCTCAGTAAATAAAGCAAGCCAATGTAAAAAGCTACAGCTACTTGTATATTTCTGGAAAACGCAAAACTGGGGAACAATGAAAAAGGTCAGATTGCCAAGGGTTGGGAGGAGAGAGGATGAAAAGGTAGAGCATAGAGGATTTGGGGAACATCAAAACTTACCTGTGTGGGGCTGGAGATTTAGCTCAGCAGCATAAGCGCCTGCCTTGCAAGCAGGCAGTCGTGAGTTCGATTCCTGGTACCGATAAAAAGGAAAAAGACAAAAAAACAAAAAACTTACCTGTGGGGTACTGTAATGGTGGTAACATCAGTATTCATTTGTCAAAACCTGTAGGGTGTTCTCCAAGAAGAACATTCTTTTAAACTGTGGTATGAGTGATAGTGAGGTGTCAGTGTAGATGGACTGGCTGTAACACATATACCACTGTGTTTCATGGTATTGGTAGAAGGGAGATTGATACCTGCGGGGGAGGCAGGGTTTATATGGGAACTCTGTACTGCTTTTGCTGTGAACCCCAAACTAGATATTTCTAAAAACATACTTAAAAATCAATAAAAAGTTAGTTCATCTTTGTCTTAGTCACATTTCTCATCCTTGATACAAAATACCTGACACCCACAAATTAAAGAAAGAGAGGTCTCATTTCAGCCAGTAGTTGGCCCAAGGTAGGAAAGGATGCTAGAAACGTGCGATGGAGGAAAGCTGCTTATCTCATGACCTCCAGGAAACAGAGCATGTCCAGGGAAGAGTGGGGGGGGGGTGTAATACCCTCTTGGCCACACCCACAGCGTCTGTAATCCAGTCATCCAAAAGCCCCACCTTTGGGAACGAGGTTTTGGTGGAACATCTAACTGTAAGCCATAGGAGCCTTAACAATATAAAAGAAAAAGATTATACAGGCCTAGCAATAGATACAGAAAAACCAATTGATCATACATTCATAATATGTCCACAAACTAGAAATGGAATTCCTCTCAAACTGATTGAAGTTCATATACTAAGAATTTACTATTGTATACTTAGTGGTAAAATTTTGAACACTGACAGTAACTAAGGTCAGAATAATGCAAGGATACAATTAACATTTCCATTCAGCATCTTGGTAGAATACAATTAATAGTTGAAAGTACACTCAGGCTTTTGTGGGTGGCTGACTTCATAATGCCACCAAAGCATTTTCATAGGCAGGGAGGATATTCCAAGCAGGCATTGCTGGAAGAACTAGATATCTATGCTGAAATAAACATTAAGCCTTCATTCTATATACAGACGTAACCTGAGGGCTGCGAGTTTCTCTCAGCAGCACAAGTGCCTGCCTGGCAAGCATGAGGTTGTTAGTTCAATCCCCAGTATGGAAAAGAAATGTCATTTGAAGTGGAACAACAGGCTTAGCAGAAACACTAGAACTATAAAAGTAATGTAGGAAAATGTTCTTGGAATCTATTCAAAGGCAGAGATTTGTTGGAATGGACGAAAAAAAAAAAAGCAACAGATGACTCACTTTTTAGTTTCATTTAAAAACTGCATTAAAAGGCACCAATAGGAAAATAGGCAAACTGTTTGATTAAATTAACTGATAATGTTCAGCTCTTCTGTATCCTTTTAGTGATTTTTCTGAGAATTACTGAGAAAACAGTATCAACATCGCCAATTGTTGAGCTTTATATTCCTGTTTATAGATCTGTCAGTTTTTGCTCCATGTAATTTGGAGGTCTGTTAAGTATACATTTATCCAGACCTGGTGGCATATACCTGTAGTCTCCTTGAAAAGCTAAGGCAAGATTGCTAGTTTGAGCCCAGCCTGGACAACTTAGTGACTTAGCAAGACTCTCAAACTTAAAAGTAGATAAAAAGGACTGGGGTTGAAGCTCAGTATGAAGGTCCTGAGTTCATTCCCCAGTAATTAAAAAAGAAAAGAGAGACTCATACATTTGTGTTTGTCATGTTTTCCCAGTATACTTTTTTAAAAAAACATTTTTTTTTAGGTTTGGTTTGGTTTGTATTCTGAGACAAGGTCTCTCTATATGTAGTCCAGGCTGGCCTTGAATTCTTGTCAGTCCTACCTCTGCCTCCTGAGTGGCTGGGATTATAGGTGTGTGCTACCGCACTCGGGTACTCTTTTTCATGATGAAATGTGAAATCATGGTTTCTCTTGGTCCTTAGTAATATACTTAATTTTAAATTTTCATTTTGTATATTTTATTAATATAACCACCCTAATTCTCATAGGATTTCGATTACCGTACTACATCTTTTTCTGTACTTTCACTTTCAACATTTTTGTCTTTGAATCTAAAGTATGGCTCTGACATGTGTAGAAATAACTTATAGTGGGTCTTTTTAAAAAATTCAGTCTACAAATGTGTGCTTTTTGTTCAGTGGTTAGTGCATTCACATTTAATGTATTATCTACATGATTGCATTTGTGCTTTTCCTTTTGCTGTTTGTTAGTCATGATTTTTTGTTTGTTACCTTTTTTTCTGCCTACTTTTGTGTTAAATTTTGTAGTATAAGATTTAGCTTCTCGATTTTTGAAAGTAGTTTTTTGTTTTTGTTGCTGCTCCAGGAATTACATATATGCACAGTTTGCATTTTTAACATATCACACTCTACTTTAGGTAATACTGACTTAATTCTGGCTTAGAAATAGCTTTTCTCCGCTATCACTGTATTCCTTCTCACTTCCTTTTTACTGTTCTCATGTTTTACATTATATCTATATGATAAATGTAGCAATATAGTATTATATAGTTCTTGTTTAAAATACTCTGTGGTTTTGCTAAACTAATGAAGAGAATAGAAAAAAATTACGTGTACAGAATTTTTTGTCTGTGTGTAAATGTTTGCCATTTGTCATGCTCTTCTTTCCATGCTGCAGATTTTGGTTATTATCTGACATTGTTTCCTATCTCTCTCTCCCCTCCCTTTTTCCTCCTTCCCTCTCTCCCTCTTCAATCTCTTTCTCCTTCTTTCCTCTCTTCCTGCTTTCCTTTCCTCTTCACTTCTTCACTCCCTCTTCCTCTCCCTTTTCCTCTCTCTCTTGGTATCTTGCACATGCTAAGTAAGTGCCCTACCACAGAGGTACCCAAGCAATACCTTTTCTTTCTTTCTTTCTTTCTTTTGCAGTGCTTTTTCTTATTCATCCCTACTAGCAACATGTTGTCTCCATTTTTGTTTGTATGAGATAGTTTCATAGAATACAGAATACTTGCTGGCAGTTTTTCCATATTCGTGTATTTGATATGATATTGTGTCCTGACCTGCACTGTTTCTGATACTGTTTCTGCTTGAAATATATCTGTTAATTGTGCTGCTGATCTTCTGTATGTGAAGAGTTATTTTTCTCTTGCTGTTTGAATATTCTGTTTTTGTTCTTGCATTTCAGAAACTTGATTGTATATTACTTCTTGGCCTTTTGGCTAAGATCAAGTGCAGAAACTTGACTGGTATGAATTCAGTAAGCTTCTTGGATCTTGTACTTGTCAGTTTTTCATTGCTATAATGAAATAGCACAGGCTGAATAAAGAAAAGATGTTTGTGTGGCTCATAGATTTAAGAGCCAAAAGTCCAGTGTGGTCACAACCCTGCTTGGTTCTGGAAAAGGTCCCCTTGACTGTGTGATGTGGCAGATGGCATTGTGGCCAGAACACATGCAAAGGGCGAGTTCATGGGGTGACTTTAGGAAGCTGGAGTGCAGGAAGGGCCAGGCTTCTTGCTCTTGTTGACAGCTGTGCTCGCAGGAAGTAGGTTGGTCACAGCATTGCTGTGCACACCCTTCTGCGGGCAGCATCCCAGTGGCTTCTCAGGGGGTGTTTAGTGCCTCACTGGCAGGCTCACACACACGAACCGTGGAGGACAGACCACGTCCACAGCACAGCAGGTCTGCAGGATAACTCCTCAAGCCCAGGAAATTTCCAGCCATTATTTCCCTACTGACATTTTTACTGTTGTCTCACTTTTCCCCTGAAACTCGTTTATTATAAGTATGTTGGTAATATGTGACCCATTCCTGCAGCTGTCAGAGGCTCTGTTCATTTTTCCTGAATCTTTTTCTCTCTGTTCTTTGGGTTAGATATTATTTTTTCTTTCCTTTTTTTTCTTGTTACTGGGGATCGAACTGGTGACCTTGGATTTGTCAAGCAGGTACTTAAGCCACTGACTAAACTCCCCACTGGATTAGATTTATTTTTAATGGTCTGTCTTTAATAGATGAGAGTACATATTTGCCCTCAAAAGCAAAAGTAGAAACATAGGACTTTGTCAAACTGAAAAACTTCTGTACAGCAAAAAATCAGTCAACAAAGTGAAAGAACATCCATATGCTGGGAGAAAATAGTTGCAAGTCTGATAAAGGATTAATATCTAACATGTAAGGAACTCAACTCACAGCATGAAAGCAACCTGAAAAAAATTGACAAAAGATATTTCTCAAAAAATATATACGTATGGCCAGCAGGTATATGGAAAAAAGTGTTCAGCATCAGTAATCTTTAGGGAAATGTCAGTTAAAACCACAACGAGATATCACTTGTTAGAATAACAGTTACCAACAAGCCATAAGTGTTGGTCAGGATGTAAAGAAAAAGGAACCCTTGAATACTATTGATCGAATAGTAAAATAATAGTTTAGAAAATAATATGGAGGTTCCTCCAAAAGTTATTAAGAGAATTACCATGTAACACAGTAATCCCACTACTACGTACATAATCCAAAGGAATTGAATTCTTTATGTCAAAGGAACGTCTGTATTCCTATGTTTATTGCTGCATTACTCAAGGTAGCCAAAATAAATGCCATCAATGTGCCCACTGATGACAGGTAGAGCAAATTGTGTGTGTGTGTGTAATGCTGTTTGACCTTAAAGAAGGAAAACGTCTCATTCTCAAATAGCTGGGTGAACTTAGAGAATATTATGTTAAGTGAAATCAACCAGTGTGGTATTGTAAAATACACATATGATCTTTGTTCTTTTACCTGCATATGACTCCTAGAGTCCTTGGAATCCTTACAAGTATACTAATGAGTTGACTCAGGATGGGGCTGGTCATCTGAAAGACCAGGACAAAAACTCTGAGTTGGGCCTTTGAGCCCTACCTACCAGCCTCTAGGGGAAGATGAAGGGTTGAAAGTTAAACTGATCACCAGTGATCAGTGCTTTAACCTATCTGTCACTGTGGTGAAACCTCTGTAAATACTCAAAGACAGTTTCCAGGCAGTTGACCACTTGACAGTCTCAGGATGGTATGCCTGAAGAAATCAGGGTGGGATATGTATCCCTTTCCCCTTATCTGCCTCATGCATCTTTTCATCTGTATCTTTGGGGGGTTTATTGGTCCCAGGGATTTAGCTCATGACCTCGTGCTTGCCAGGCAGGCTCTTGCCAGGCAGGCACTGAGCTAAATCCCCAGCCTCAACTGTATCTTTGGTAGTAGCCTTATAATAAGCCATAAATGTAAAGAAATATTTCCCTGGGTTCTGTGAGCCATTCAGCAAATCTACGAAGTGAAGAAGAGGTTATAGGAACACTGATTTTTAACTGTCCATCAGGAGCACTGGGGAAACAACCTGAGCTGTTACTCACACTCAGGGGCAGGAGGGCAGCTATCGGCTGAGTCCTCAGCCCAATGTCTATGATCCCAGGTAATATCAGAATTGAATTGAATTAGAGCACATTCAGCTGATACCACACCTGTAATATTGTTTGCTGGATGTGTGAGGGAAACTCATATACCTAGTGTTAGAAGTGATCTATGTTGGAGAATAAAAAAGTCTGAGTTTGATTTCCTGTATATTATTGGGATGAAAGACAAACTGCATGATACCATTTTGTGTTGGTGTTAGAAGAGAGAATAGAATGATGTCTATCCCGGGCCTGGGTAAGTGGTGAGGGAGGCAGGTCAGAGAAATGCTGGTCAAAGGGCATAGAATTTCAGTAGACAGAAGCAGTACATTCAGGAGATGTATAGTATGTTGACTATACTTAATAATATATTGTGTTTTTGAAATACACCCTGAGAGTGTATATAGTCTTTTTAACCATAAAAATAATTATGTAAAGTAAAACATTAATTAGCTAGATTTAGGCATTCTATGATGTGTTTATACTTCAGAACATCATGTTGTACGATACATACATTTTATTTTATTTTATTTTTTGGTACTGGGAATCAAACCCCAGGACTTCACATTCACCAGGCAGGTGCTGTGCCATGAGCTATAACCCTGGTCCTAGATAAATAAAATTATCTATTAATTTAAATAAGAAAGAAACATGGACTTGCTGTCATATGGTATCTAAAAACTTTCACTGTCTTTTTGTTGTCCCAAACTTGTTGATGGGCTCCTATGGTAAATGTTTCTGATAGTACACTTTTTTGGTTTGTTTTTTAAGGCAGAATCTTGCCATGTAGTTTAGGCTGGCCTTGAACTCCCTATGTGGCCTAAGCTGGCCTCAAATTAATGGCAAGCCCCCTACCTCAGCCTCCATAGGACTGAGATTACGAATGTGCAACACCATGTCTTTTACTAGTATACTTTTTTTTTTTTGAGACAGGTCTTACTATGTAGTTGAGGATGTCCTTGAATTCACTGTATATCAGACTCATGGCAATTCGCCTACATCAGCCTCTCAAGTGCTGGGATTACAGGCTGCATCACCATGTAGCATTATCAGTATACTCTTTAGTTTACATTTTATTCTTTTGTGTAGTTTCTATTCTCTGTTGAAATTTCCTAGCAAGGCATATTCCCTTTAATTCTTTGAACATATTTCACTTTTTTTTTTTTTTTTTTTTTTTTTTTGGTACTGGGGATCAAACTCACAACCTCACACTTGCCAGGCAGGCACTTATGCTGCTGAGCTAAATCCCCAGCCCTGAATATATTTCTTTTACTTTCACAAGCAGTCTAGACATAATAAATGACTTTTACTAATTAGGAAACCGTGGGACTACTTTGGAAGTCCAGGTTTCCAGGTGCTAGCCAAGGGCTAGCCTCGTAAGGTAGGCCTTTTAGAAGAAGCAGTCCTCAGGGCTACTCTGCCAGTTCTTTTCTGCACAGCATTCTTGTCTCACTCCACACTCCTCCACACTATTGGACTTCAAAGCCAGGGGAAAGTCCTCCACAGAGCTACATCCCCAGCCCCTTTTTTATTTTGATGTAGTTTCCCTAAGTTTCCATCACTGAATTCAAACTTGTAATTTTCCTGCTTTTGCCTCCCAAGTACCTGGGATCATAGGAATGTACCACCATGTCTGACTTTTTTTTTTAAATTGAGCTACTTACAGTGTTTTGCCTATGAATACAGTGACACAAGTTATTTCACTGACTTTTTTTTTTTTAAACCAGGGAATGCACTCATGACCTCGTGCTTATCAGACAAGTGCTCAAACCACTGAGCTAAACCCTGGCTTGTTGATTTTTTAGAAGCTTAACTTCTGAATTATTTTAAAATATTTTTTCCTTAGTTTGGTAGCTTTATGGTTTTATCAAATTAAGGATAGTTATTTTCATTTTTTGTTTCAGAAAAATCTTTTTGTTGTTTCTCTCAACCTAAAATAAAGTACGGGCTTGTCCTGAAACTAATTAGAATACAACCATTCCTTTTATGATCTAACTTACATACTTGGAACAGTTTTATATTTGTCAATTCTTTATCTCTCCAAACATGTTAATGCCTGTGTTTCTTTACTCAGCACGACTACGTGGCGTACATGATGGTCTGTTCACAGGACAGATAGATGCTGTGGATACTCTTAATGCCACTTACAGAGTGACTTTTGATAGGGCAGGACTTGGGACTCACACCATCCCTGACTATGAAGTGCTTGTAAGTAGTCTTTTGTAATATGTTTGTTTTATGCCTATTACATGGATTGTGTACTTTTCTTACAAGTTGTGTTTTGTGTAGAATCAAGGCTTCAGTTTGTAAAGGAAGAGACCTTGAAGGTTCCTAACTCTATCTTACTAAACTCCTGTAACACAGCTATGCTTAAGTCATATATTTCCAGGGTTCCTTCCATTGTTGTTTACCTACCTGATATTTCACTGTAGTGAACTGATTGCTCCTTCAGCTATAGGTTAATTAATAATCCCAGCTATAGGTTACGATATAGTCTTGCAAAAACACTTTCTCTAAGGGCTAAGGGTTTAGCTCAGCGGCACAAGTGCCTTCTGGGCAAGCACAAGGTCCTGAGTTTGATGCCTGTTACCAAAATAAAAAAACCTAAAAACCTTTAAAAGTATGTAACATCTTGTTCTTTTAAAATTTGTTCTGTTTTTCCCAGCACTAGGGAGGCTGAGGAAGGAGGATCACCACGAGTTGGAGGCCAGCCGGGGCTGCATAATTAAGGCCAGCCTGAATTACAGAGTGACTCTCAGAAAGAAAAAAAAAAAAAGATCTGTTTTATCCTCAGTTACAGGAAGAGAGAGTATTAAGTATTTTCATTTTTCCCATGATAAAGTTGAGATTTAAGTACAATAATTTATTTATTCAAGGCTCTAGAGCTGTTTTCCTGTCAATCTGAGGCTAGAATCCAGATCTTTTAGGCACGTTATTTCACACTCATTGGTGATTTAGCAAAGTTAGGGAACTGCACACCTTCTTGTGTGGTGTAGGGACCTTTAGGCTTCACATGTGCCAAGCATACTCTGGACCCTAAAGTGCATCTCATGCTGTCTTCTTAAGTGGAAAGAATATTAAGAGCTAATGTAATTGCATTCTGAGACAGCATCTTAGAAATGTAAGAATAAAGATTTGTTTGTTTCTTTTTCTGCACTACTAGGAATTAAACACAGGCTTCTGCCTGGGATTTCTTACTCATAAGAAAACTACACAGTTTTATAATAAAGTAGTCCTTTTCTAAGCATAATGGAAATTGTATCCATTTTACTCTCCTTTTTTCTGTTATAAAATTAATTTTTAAGAATTATGACTATAATATTTTTTTTTTTTGTCTTTTTCCTTTTTATCGGTACCACGGATCGAACTCACGACTGCCTGTTTGCAAGGCAGGTACTTATGCCGCTGAGCTAAATCCCCAGCCCCGAATTATGACTGTAATTAAAAATGAAAAAGCTTTTATCTCCTGAATGGAAGAATAGAATCTTCCTTTTCTAATATGTAGTAGGTTTTTGTTTTGTTTTTTTGAGATGATGTCTCATATCATAGTTCGGGCTGGCCCTGACCTTCTATGTAGCCCAGGTTGGCCTGGAACTCACAGCAATCTTCCTGCCTCATCCTGAGTGTTAGGATTACAGGTGTGCACCACCATGCCAGGCACTAGTATATACTTTTTTAAAAATTGTGGTATGGGGCTGGGAATTTGGCTCAGCAGCATAAGCACCTACCTTGTAAGCGCGCAGTCATGAGTTTGATTCCTGGTACTAAAAAAAAAAAAACAAACCTGTGGCTTCCTGTTTGTGATGAGGACATCCCTATCAAACATCCCTTAGAAAGGAGCTCTAGAGGAGAAGTAACACTTGGAGTAGACGTAAAACAAAATATATCACTTAAGTCTTGCATTAAAGAATGGAATCATCAAAATTCCCCTTTCTTTTTTTTTTTTGGTCTTTTTCGTTTTTTTATCAGTACCGGAGATTAAACTCACGACTGCCTGCTTGCAAGGCAGGCGCTTATGCCGCTGAGCTAAATCCCCAGCCCCAAAACTTCCCTTTCAAAAAAGGAAGATTTTGGCCCAGCATAGTCTGAGCAGTTGGGAGGCTGAGGGAGAATTACTGAGTGCAAGAGTCCAGACAACATGCCCCATCTCAAAACTAAACAAAACCCGCGGTCTTAAAACACAGATGGAAAAAAAGTTGTTTTGTTTTATTTTTTGTACCAGGGACCAAACTCATGATCTTGTACTTGACAAGCAGGTGCTTATGCCGCTGTAAAAGTTGTTCTTAACTGTGTCTTTGAAGTTTTTTGTTTTTTGGGGTTTTTTTCCTTTGTTTGTTTTTTGGTACCAGGAATCAAAACTCATGATCTTCTGCTTGGTAGGCAGGCTTTTTACACCTCTGAGCTAAATCACCAGCCTGGCAGATGGAAAATTGCTTTCATGTTTCATTAATGTAATTTTCAATATGAGATCATTGAAAAATTTCTCCTTGACCAAGAATTCAGTTTGATTATAGTAAATTCAGTTTGGTTAAAGTATATTACAGTTTGATTATAGTATATTCATATAGTCTAAGTGCTGATAACCAAAGGTGGCTATAAAACACTTTAAAGGTTTTTGTTGTTGTTGTTGTTTTTACTTTAATCGATCTACTTTAGTACTACTGGAACTAAGCAGTTTTTTGTTATTGTACTTGGAATCCATAATAGTTGTAAATGCTAGAAGTTCTCGGGTATGGAATCCCCTCTCCTGTCTCCTGCAAAGCATCACCTTCAATAATTGATTATCATTTTCATTAATCTGGGAGAAATTCACAGTCCACTCCTATCCTCCATTCATAGTCTCCACTCTGCAAATCAGTTTCTTCCACAGACAGCAGACTAGCCACAGGGAAGTATTATTTCCCTTACTTGCTGCAAGCAATCTTGGCTGAAAATATTTTTCACTTCTCAATCTTGAGGAGCATAGGTTATGTTACCATAGTCTTCGCCACTTTAGTAGCTGTGATGTCTGGGTAGAAACAGATGACATTTTTTCTTAAAGAATAACAGCTAAGCAAATTTTATGATTATACATTTGCTATGAATCAGGAGACCGTGTCTCTTTACAGTGATGTAGTATATACCCAAAGAGCTAGGTGCAGCCACTGAGAGGTTAGAGACATCCCCTGCCAGGCTGTGGGAGTATCCACACCCCAAAGGTTCAGCCACAGAGGTTTAGCCCCAGAGTCCAGGGAGGTTTCGGGGGGCTACACCCCTTCTGCCTCTGCTTCTGGGCCCGCCCTCAGCAAGCACAGAAATACTTTAAAGTCAGTTGAGTATTCTTTGAATTGTTTTGATTCTTTGAACTTTTTCTTAATTCTTTTTATCTTTTGTGGGTTTAACCTTTGTCAGCAAAGTAGTATTTTCATTCTCTGATCTAGTCTTTGATATTTGTAGAATAATACATTTTATCATAACCATAGAATATGCTATGTAGCTGTTATAAGATGGGTAAAACTCTCTGAATGTTGTGGGTTCCTCTCTGTTCCCAAAGAGTAATGAGCCTCATGAAACCATGCCCATCGCTGCCTTTGGACAGAAACAGCGGCCTTCTCGATTTTTTATGACCCCACCACGGTTACATTATACTCCTCTTCAGTCACCAATTACAGTAAGTAATATTTTAGGAAGCACAGTCAGTAATTTTTATGAATATGATCTATGGTCTTATGAAATATATAGTTATTACAGTAACTTCATGCATTACCTGTATTGCTTTGGGTTGTCAGATATAAAATAGTAGTTACTTAAGCTCTGGAAATATTTTCATTCTTGCTGGATTTTAATGCATTAAATATAATAGAACTCTATCTAAAATGAGATACTTTTTTTGAACAGTCAATGATTTTCTTCTGTTCCCATAGGACAGTGATCCTTTATTAGGACAATCACCTTGGAGAAGTAAAATTTCTGGGTCTGACACTGAAACATTGGGTGGTTTTCCTGTAGAATTCCTTATTCAAGTGGTAAGCAATATCTTGCTGTATATTTAAAAACTCGATGTCTTTCATGTTATTAAGATTTGTCTAGGGACAGATATTGTTATATTACACAGGTTTTAAGGACTGCTATTTTTAGCAATGCTTGAAAATGAAAGCCAAAAATGACTGAGTTCTTTCTTATTTGACTGTCTTTTCTAAGACTAAGAGTGACTAAAAGTATTTACTTGTTAAATACTTAGGGACTAGATACCAAGAAATCTTAAGTCTAAATCAGGTGTGGTGGTCCAACACTGTCATGCCAGCACTCTTGATAGTCTGAGGGGGATGATCATAAATTCAAACCTACCTGGACAGTTTAGCAAAACTGTGACTCAAAAATTAAAGAACTGAGGATGTAACTCAGTACAGAATACTGGATCCCTCTCTCTACCGCCGTAACTAACACACACAGTCTAAATTGAAACGAGTAAGTATTATATGTATAATCTTTCTAAGTGCTGAGTGTGGCAGCACACACCTATAATCCTAGCACTCAGGAGGCTGAGGCAGAGGATTGCTGCAAGTTTGAGTCCTGCCTGGAGTACAGAGTGAGTTCAAGGCCAGTCTGAACTGCATAGTGAGACCCGTGTCATAAAACGAAAAAAAATTGAGCTGGATGTAGCTTAGTGGCACAAGTGCCTGCCTGTCTGGCGAGTGCAAGGTGTTGAGTTCAATCCCTGGCGCCCAAAAATATATATATATTATTTTTAAAAGTTATATGTATACATATGTATGTATGATAGCTAAGATAATTGTACTATTGATCCTGTTAGTTCAGGAAAACAAAATGTAATCTCTTACATTGTTTGATCTGTTTTGCATGCCAGTATCTTGTAATCTGAGAAACCTTTTGTGTGTGTGTACCAGGGATAAAACTCATGACATTGCACTTGCCAGGCTGGTGTTTTGCTGCTGAGCTATATCGCTGCCCCATTTTTTGTGAAATAGTGTATTTTTGTTTGTTTGTTTTTCCTTATACCAGAGATCAAATTCACCACCTTACACTTGCCAGTCAGGCACTGTGCCACTGAGTTATATCCCCAACCCTCTTTTGAACAATATATAATATGCAATGTAGTGACAATGGTTAATTTCCTATTAGCTTGTTTTGAAATCCTATATTGCTTCTACTGTTTTATTTTTATTGTTTTATTTTCTTTTAATCTCTTTTTTTTTTTTTTTTAAAGTCTAAGTGGCCTGACTTTTTTTCTTTCTTTTCTTTTGAGACAGGGTCTCACTATGTAGTTTAGGCTGGCCTTGAACTTACCTTGTAGCCCAGACTGGTTTTGAACAAGCAAGGAGTCAGCCTCCCGAGTGCTGAGATTACAGGCATGTGCCAGTACACCTGGAAGTGGCCTGATTGGTTGGTTTTTTGTTTTTTTGCTTTTTATTTTTTGTTTTTTGGGGTACTGGGAATCAAACTCATGACCTCGCACTTGCCAAGCAGGCACTTTTGCTGCTGAGCTAAACCCCTGACCCCTGACTTAAAACTCTAATGAGTTGGTTTTGAAAATTAAGTTAAATAAATTCAGTTTATCATAGTCTAATAATTTTTTTAAAATAAAACTACTTTCACTTGAAGTAAGTATAATCTTTATAAGTAAAGATATTTATAAGCAGGCATGGTGGTGCACATCTGCAGTCCCAGCACTCTGGGAGGCTGAGGCAGGAATATCACAGTTTGAACCTAGCCTGTGAATTATATAGTGACTTTATGAGACCCTGTCTCAAAAAAAAAGGTCTAGGGGTGAAAACTCTGAGTTCAGTGCCTAGTACCAGTGGAAAAAAAAGATGTTTATAACATAATCCATTAAAATATTCAGTGTTTACTTTTTGGCAGTTGATAGTGTTTTACCATTTGCATGCATGTATACAGCATTCTGTATTAACCTTATGTTCTTAATTACTCTTACAATATAAAGTTTCTTACGTCTTTTGGCTTACAAAGGTAGATACTTTGTTCCTTGAGACAGGGTCTCGCCATGTAGTGCAGATTGGCCAGGATTTCACAGTGTAGCCCAGGCCGGCCTAGAACCCATGGCAATTCTTGTGAGTCGGCCTCCTGAGTGCTGGGATTACAGGTGTGCAGCCGCATGCCTGGTTATAAACATCTTTACTGATAAAGATTATACCAGCATGCCCAGCCCAAAGGGTAGATATTTTCATATGAAAGATTGAAAATATGAGAAGAGTCAAGGCTTATCCCTTTCACAAATGGAACATGAAATGGTTTTGGGGGGACAGGGTCAGATAAAGAGAGATCCACAGAACCATAAGCAAAGGGTACCACAGCTAATTACTGTTGTAGTATGTTTAAAGAATTGATGTTTTGATTGATACTTACATGTTCATTTGTTTTTTTAACTTAATAGATCTTTTTTTCTAGAGCAGTTTTAGGTTCACAGAAAAAATTGAGAGGAAGGTGCACATATTTTCTGTATGTCACCTGCCCACTCCCTAGACTAGGACATTTGTTACCTTTGGTGAAGTTACGCTGGCAGCATTATCACCCAAAGACCATAAAGTTCTTTAGGGCTCACTTGCAGTGTTGGATATTTTAAAAGATTGGACACAGTTATCAGTAATTATAGCATGATACACAACAGTTTTGATGCCTTAAAAATCTTTTGTATTCCAGCAAAAGATCATCCCTTCCTCCAAACCTGGCACGACTGGTCTTTTTGTCTCCCTAGTTTGGCCTTTCCCAGAATTTTGCATAGCTGGAATCATACAGTGTGTTTACTTTTCATATCTTTCATTTACAAACATGCATTTGAGTTTTCTACATATCTTTTTGCGGGGAGGGTTGGGATTGAGACAGGGTCTTGCTATGTAGTGGAGACTGACTTTAAACTCACTAGGTAACAGAGTCTGGCCTTGAATGTGTTGCACTTCTCCTGCCTCAGCCTCCTAAGAGGTAGGATTATAGGTGTGTACTACTATGCCTTTTTCTCTTTTTCTCTTTTTTGAGACAGGATCACAGGCCAGTTGGCCTTGAGCTCATGTGTAGCCCAGACTAGCCTCAACTTTGGGATCCTCCTGCCTCAACCTCTGAGTTCAGGGACTACAGACATGTACCACCATACCCAGTTCCCTCCATATCTTTTCATGGCGCAAGATCTCATTTTCTTTCATTCATTCATTCAATAGGTAGGGTTTTGCTAGGCAGTTCAGGTTGGCCTTGAACTCAGTTTGTAGCCCAGACTGGCCTCGCACTTGCACAATGATCCTACTGCCTCAGCCTCCTGAGTGCTGAGATTATAAGCGTGTTCCAGCATGCCCGGCTCTCATTTCACTGATCACATTACATTATATGAACTGTGCCATAGTTTGTGCAGCCATTCACCTGCTGAAAGATATCTTAATTGCTTCCAAATTTTGACAGTTATGAATTATGGCTTTGCCATAAACAGCTGTTTGCAAGTCTTTGTCAAGACATGTTTTTCTCTCCTTTTGTATCCTGTAAACTGATGATTGCATCTAGAAGTTTGGTTAGATCATTCCTTTGCTTAAAAGTTGAAATAGTTGAGAACTTCCTCAATTGTTTGTTTCCCTAATGGTAATGGTTTGTATAGGAAATGCAAGATAAATGTTTGTGCTTTTTGCTTTGCTTTCCAATTTACCAGAAAATGGATTTGGTCACTAGCAGTTTCCAACAATAGTCAGGCTTGGGGTTTTTTATTTGTTTCTTTCTCTGTTTTCTTTTTTTTTTTTTTTTAAGGATTAGTGAAAACTTAAGGTTTTTAAATTTGTGCTTCAATTCTTTGCAGTCATTGTTAACATCCTGTTTTAAGCTGTGAAAGCTTGCTTAAGTTGACTCCTTAGCGCTTTTAACATGTCTTAATTACATGAATTTTAAAATAATATTTTCTTGTCAGCTAATCAAATACATAAATTAAAATGTTTGCTATATTTATATTGAGACACAAAAATCTGCTTAAATGTCATAGTGAAAAACTGAAATTTGATATCTGATTATAATACTTAAATGCCTGTATTTATTCCTAAACATTTCTTATTTGTAGACTAAATTATCCAAAATTCTCATGATTAAAAAGGAACATATCAAGAAATTAAGGGAAATGAATACAGAAGCAGAAAAACTGGTAAGGATTTTTATTCATTATTTATTCTTTAATTCCTTTGTTTACTCATTACCCTTAAAATGGTAAGGCTTCTATCTAGTGACTTTTAAATATCTTAGAGAAAATAGTCTTGAGGTAAATGTTATTTTCAAATCACCATTTGCTATCACTGCTCTTGTTCTGCTGAACACATGCAAAAAAATTAACAGTGCAGTGTGTTGCTGCAGACTATCCTGCTGCTGACTGTATAGCCCAGTAAAAGTCATGAAGAGATAAAGCTTCGATAGGTTTCATGAGAACTAGTACATCTGACTAACGCAGTTATAATGATGATGGTTATAAAAATAGTTTCAGAATAAGTAAATGAAGAAATAAAGCTGGGTGTGGTAGCACACACCTGTAATCCCAGTTGAGACAAGAGAGTCACTGCAGGTTTGAGGTCAGCCTGGGCTACATAGTGATCCTCAAGGCCAACTTGAACTACATAGCAAAACCCAAGGGCTAAAAAATGCAGTCAGTTCTATTCATAAGTGAGAATTATCGTGGCTGAGGGATATAGCTCAGTGATACAGTACCTGCCTGGTAAGCACAAGGTCTTGAGTTCAGTTCCTGGTACAAAAAAAAATTATTGGGCTGGGGATTTAGCTCAGTGGCATAAGCACCTGCCTGGCAGGCGTGAGGTTTGTGAATTCAATCCCTGGTACCAAAAATTTTTTTAAAAATTATTAGAGGAGTTTTTAGAACTGTAGAAAATATTCACTAAGAAAGTCTTTGAATTCCAGATGAAAGCCCAGAGGTTTAAAAAAAAAAAAAAAGCCTTTGAATCATAAAGAATTCACATTTTGTTAAAAAAAAAAAAGCTTGTAGGGTGGTAAATAGGCCTTACCTCAGATATCTCTGATTGAAAACACTGAATGAAAGGTGAAAGTATGGGAGGGCTTAGTAATAGGCCCAGGGGGCAAAGTACAGTACTGTGACATTATCTAATGTGACTTTTTCATCTTTGGCATTGGAAACTGAAAACCAGAAACATTTCAGTGAATTTCAGTCCAAAATTATACTGCTATTGTGGCCAGGCATGGTGGCACAGCTAAGGCAAAAGGACTGCTGTGAGTTTGATACCAGTTTGGGCTACATAGTGAGTTCAAGACCAGCCTAAACTAAATAGCAAGACCTTGTCTTTTTTTTTTTTTTTTTTCCGTACCAGGAATCAAACTCAAGACCTTGTGCTTGCCAGGCCGGTGCTGTGCCACTGAATTATATCCCTGGACTGAGACCCTGTCTTAAAAAAAATTGCACTGCTATTTCGTAGTATAGACACTGAAACAGTCTTCTCTATCCCATTCAGCTCATTTAAGCATAATACGAAGTTAGTATTATAGATACACAGTCTGTGAAAGATTGAGAAAAGGTTAGCCATAACACACTGCCATTACAGATCTTAAACACAGAGTTGTATGTGCTTTTCTTCCAGCTGTTCTCTACTTCTCATTTCACTTTCCATCAGTTCTGTTTCTGTTCTTTGTGATTTTTAGTGCGCCTCCCACTTCTGTTTCTTCTGATGACTTAATCATTTCTCTTATCTTTATGCATAATTGAATCATTGCCTTTCATTATCACTAGCTAGGAATTTTTCATTATCACTAGCTAGATCCAGGAGTATTGAGCTTGCTTTTTACTCAGTTGGTCTTACCTAATTTCAAATAAAGATCTATTCTGGAGTTGGGTTGGCTTCTTTGGCATGTGAGCTTTTTGAAGAAAAAGGTCTACTTGGTTTGATGTTTTACTTATGATGAAAAATAATTCTTATAAAAATATAAATGTTATGAACTTATTTATGAGGAAAGCAGTAGTTCTTTATAATTCCTCCCCATAAATATTATATCTTAACATGTTTACTTATATGTACGTTCAGATTTATTTTCCTGAACATACTATCAAGTAGTTCTAAATTTTATTCTCAGAATATGATTATGTTATTATATATTGGTTTATGTCTTCTTTTTTAATTGTTATATTGTACTATAATTTAAACTATTAATGATATTTAGATTATTTTCTACTGTTTTACTAAAATACTGCTGTAGTAGCTATCCTTATCCATATAACTTTATGCATTTGTGTCTTGTGTGTAGAATAAGTTCTATTTTTAACCTACACATAAAATTTTTGCATATTTATACATTCTGCTTATGGAATACCTTGTGATAGATACTTCAGTTTATCCATTGTATAATGTTCACATTGTGATAAGCATATCTATCACCTCAAATATTTGTCATTTCTTTGTGGTAGAAACATTCAAGACTCTAAGATAACTTCTTAAAATTGCTGTAGTATATGGAGTTTTTAAAGATTTAATAAAACGTCTAGTTTAAGAACTGAGCATGTGCTTTTTTCCTTTTTATAATTCCATACAAAATATGAAATAGAAAAAATAGAACAGTCTGCTTAACAAAGTGAAATTTCAGAATCTTTTCTGCATATTGTTTGGTGAAACAGAAACCATACTGGAGGCCTGAAGAGGTGGTCAGCCCAGAGTTGGCAAATACAATGAAGTGCAGAAGCAGAGAAGCAGGGTTTTTAAGAGGATTAGTGCAAGGTCTGAACTGCCCTTCTTCCCAGGGATGGCACTCAAACATGGTATTTGCTCAAAGGGAATAGAACAGATACTCCCAAAGGAATTTGAATTCACTATCTGGAAAAGTTTTTTTTTCTGCTTTGGGTAATGTAGACTCAGTAATTTGAATGAAACTTCCCACTAAAAACAAGTATTTCCTCTAATAAACTGTGGAAGTAACTTGGAGACACTAAAGTGTTAATAAGAGGTTAAGAAGTTTTGAATCTAGAAAAAGAAAGAAACTCAGAACGGAGAACTGGACTGCTGCAAGTTGTAGAAAAGAGAAATTCAATGCATTCTTGAAAGCCTTGCAGGAGTTGGGGAGACAAAATTGGAGGCCAGAGCTCCATTGGTGAAGGGAGATAACCCCAGAGAGCCCCAGCTAGCCCACGAGGAACCCTCATACCCAGCTGGCTCTGTCACCATTCCCACAGGCAGCCAGACTGAGACCCAGCAGCACCTCCATCCTCAGTACTGCCAACCCCACCCCATGCACCATAGGCAGAGACACAGACAAGAAGGTCATTGCAGCGAAGATTTGGGGAACAGTAAAATGGTTCACTTAAGAAATGGACATGGTTTCATCAACAGGAATGACACCAACCAGTCTGAATTTATGTACCAGACTGCTGTAAAGAACAGCCTCAGGAAGTCCCACCACAGTGTAGGACATGGAGAGACTGTGGAGTCTGGTGTTGCTGAAGGAGAAAAGAGTGCAGAGATAGCAAATGTCTTGGGTCCTGGTGGAGTTTCTGGTTCAGGGATGTAAAATGTGCAGCAGGCCTCACCATGCTAGATGCTGCCTGCATTGCAGTGTCCTCCACATAGTTGCTGGCAGAATGTCCAGAACAGTGAGAGTGGAGAAGAATGCAGGCCCACAGAGCACACCTAAAGCCAGATCCAACCATGCAGGGTCTACCCTATCACAGGCGAAGGTTCCTTACCACATGCAGGAGATCCTGTGGACTGTGACGACAGGATTCCTGCCTTGCTGTGCTTGAGAAGGGATAGAGTGTGCAGGAGAGCAAGGCAGAATATGTATTGAGTTTACAGACCATGATTCCACAGGGACTCTTTTCACCAAACACACCCTAGAGAGGACAGCAAGAAAGAGGCCCGAGGTCAGCAACCACCTCAGTATCCCTGGTGTGAATTACCAAAGCAGACACCTGGAAGACCCTAAGTCAAAGGTGGCAAAAGAGACAGGGGCCCCAGATTTACCAGCCGAGAGCAGGGTTGGACTTAGGAAAGGCAGGTTTAACATCTGTCCCATCATCCGGCTTAGTCTTCCAACAAGAAGAAATGAGAACAAAATTCCAGCAGCATGAAATGAACTTAAGATTGGAACTGAAGATGTCAAGTGTTGCTTTTTGCTAGTATTTTTACCTAAAGACATCTCTTTTTGGTAATGACAAATGTGGTTCTTTTTAAAAGCCTGGTTTTTCTCAATACACCTTTAAAGGTTTTTAAATGGTTTCTTATTGGATCAAGTTGAGATTTTTAAGAACTTCATTTTTGATTTGTAAGAAAAGTTTGCAATTTGATCTTTTTGTTTGTTTTCAAAAAAAGTCAAAAAACTGCAGACATCTGTTAATAAAGGACTTAAATAATTGAAACAAGGGCTGGGGATTTAGCTCAGTGGCATAAGCGCCTCCCTGGCAAGTGCTAGGTTGTGAGTTTGACCCCTGGTACAAAAAAAAAAAAAAATAATAAAACTAGAATCTAGAGAAGGGCCCAGGATAGAAGATTAGCAAGCCTTCCATGTTCTAAGTTAGGACCCCAAAACTGAGCGCAAACATTACAAAAGAAGCACAGCTACTCTCAGTTGTGAACAGAGATACAAGAATCCTAAACCAAGTATTTTAAAATTGTTAATACACAGGGTACATCACTGCAGCCAAGTAGGGCTTGCTCCAGGAAGGCAAGAGTGGGTACAATTAGAAATGAGTACGTGGAGTCCAGACCACAGAAGGGGGCAGTGCAATCTCTTTTTCTGCCTGCTTTTTTTCAGCATAATAATTTTCTTCTTCTTTTTTTCTTTTCAAATCTATTTTATGTTAAAGAGAAAAAAAAATTCAAAACACAGTAATTAGGGAGTTAGGACCGGGGATTTAGCTCAACAGCACAGCACCTGCCTAACAAGCTCAAGTTTGTGAGTTCAACTTTCAGTACTAAAAAAAGAAAAAAAATGGCATAACAATGTTATGTACATTGTATATTGTTATCTTCAAATCAGTTACTCAGAGTACAAGATACCTACATTTAATTGTCCAAACAATACTAGCACAAACATTTCCATTCCATGAACTCACAGAAACTTTCATATATATAACTTTTATATATATATATATACATACATACATGTATATACATTTATTGTTTAAGCTTCTCACCCTAGTGA